CGCAACAACCCAGAAGACAGAAATCTTCATACTCATCGCCCTGATGACGGAGGCAGTATGACCTCCGAAACGTTGGTTGACATCCACCAGACTACACAACGCAACAACCCAGAAGACAGAAATCTTCATACTCGCCGCTGTGAAACCTCAAGTCTTACATCTTACGTACTTATTTACTTATTCACAAAATAAACACAGCAATAATTTAATTTACACTGTAATATGACAAAATGGCGGCTGCACGAACAAATATTTAAGCTATTGTTCGATCCCGTGCGCTGCCACGAAGTTAAGGGTTTGTTCCTAGCTTCTCACCTCTCAGGTTTGTTCCTCGTGGCGTGCAGAAATCCACGCTTTGCCCTTATCTCGGCCACCCGTGGCCTATCCACAAGGGCTAGGAGAACTCACGCGTTTCTTCCTTAAGGCCTAAGCCAGCCCGGAGAGTTCTTCCACACTTGCGACTTGTTTCTCTGTGATTTCATCCTCTCCCCTTACGCGAAGCCTTTATAATCCTTGGAATTGTTAAGGATTTGTCAACATCAGGTAGTCAACCATGTGTGTATCTTGAACTTGAGGTCAGACTTCCTGTCTTCTGAGAAGGGGGCACGTCTTGTCCGGCTGACTAAGCCTCTTTCAGCCGAAATGTCGTGCTCACAAGCTATTTTATATCACGCCAATCGAAAGGAGCCTAGGAACAGCCTCGGATATTTCGTGTACAAAGTTCCAATCAAGTTATCGCTTAGTGTTTAAGTATTATCCGTGCTGATACTGTCTTAAAGCACCAGTGATTAACAAAGAGTGGAAACAAAACGGATTCATGTGTACCAACAATTCCAAGTCACAGGTTGCGTGCAGACCATTGGTAGTGATACATTTCGGTAGTGTAAATCAGTAAAGTTACCAGATCTTTACTTTTGAGAAGTTATGAGTCTTTAGATACGAGGTGCGATCGAAAGGTTTCCAGACTGCGCCTATAAAAACCCGTACACTTAACTCGGGTATTAAATTCATCCATCACCCTCAACGTAGTTCCCCTGGGAGTGAACACAACGATCCCAGCGCCG